TATATATATATATATATATATATATATATATATATATATATATATATATATATATAATTTGGTGTTATGTTAACCAACGTGTAGCATTTTTATGACGAGAAACATTGATACTTCGGACCCGTTTGGCATCAGCTTTAAAGATTAATGTTAGCATTATACTATTATTACAACAAGACAAAAATGCTTATTGTTAAAAGAAGTCCGCGGTAATACTATACCCATCTCAGAATATTTAACTATTTCTTTTTGGCGCATGTAAAAATATATACACAATATAATAATAAAAAAATTAGAAAAAATTATACTCCCTCCGTCCCATTAATTGTTACCCATTTTGATTTTTTAGCAAAATAAGGGAACCAATTTTTTCCATTGACTTCCCCACTTTACCCCTCACCCTAATCTAAAAGTAGAAATCCGATCAAGTCATGAATAGTGTAAGGCAAGGGTAGAAATGTCTTTTTAAGGAAAATGTGTAGTTCTTTATGGGACACAAATTTTATGAAACGTGTAAAAAGAGTTACTGTATGAAACTAATCTCATTCACATTCACTGGTCCACAGTGATGTAACTTCTCTACGTAGTGCGTACTACATACTAGTAATACATAATACTGTGATGATAAAAGCCACATAGACACATAATGCTAATGATAAAAGTGGCATACACCAGAGTCCCATGGGCACAGCTTACTGATTCATGAAGAACTTTAGAGAGGGCAATCTAGCTCGCTCACTGTAGGTGGTCTGCCCTGCCGACAAATTCCACGTCCCTTGGGTGATAAATCCTGTAACAAAGATTACATTCCTCACCTCCTCCTACAGGAGCAACAATATATAAGACACAATTACGACAAATGTAAACAGGTCAGTGACAATAATATATAAGCACGAGTGACTGAAAACTGGATGGCAAGTAAAAAAGTAATCGGCAAGAAAACAGACCATGAAAACATAAAGAAACCCCAACCAATGAAGCATTGACAGACATAATAATAATAATACCAGTTTCAGGAGAATTTGTCCCCAGGCTGTAGCAACGTGTATCTATCACTCCATGCCAACTAACCACCCTTTCAGCAAAAAAGAGCTCTGGAGGAGCAGCAGGCTCGTCTTTTGGTCGGGCCTTGAAGTTGAGATGGTGCACAAATCCGCACTTAAGGGCGAAGGCTTGCATTTTCATTGTCTTCACCAGAATGTATCTGGGAAGCTGCTGGAAAGAAAGTAAAGATCAACAGTAAATCAAACACACATCCTACAAAATAACTATTCCAAGAAGAAGGGTTAGAATGAGAGAAACAAACAAACCCCACGCTGTTGGCGGCCCTTATTGTACCAGTTCAAGGATTTTGTTGCCTGTTCACGAAGCTCGCGCTGCTTTTCCTTTTGATGGTCCTTAAGACGTTGACCGGTCAGAGGAGGAGGTCCGCGAAAAAGACCTCCGGCAGGGAGCACTGTCGGTCTAGAAATTAGGAACAATGAAATTTTAGGCCCCATGGGATCTTAAAATAAGTTGCTCTCTCAGCTCTTTTTAAGTGTTCTATGAGTACTGAAACATAGAACTGAACAATAAGCCTACATATGTTGTTAGATCAATCAATTGAATGACTAAAGCTAATCTATTGCATTGATTTATATTTGGAGGGGAGTTCAACAATAAAAGAACTATCCATATAACCTCCAATCTTAACATCCTCTTAAAGCATAAAATAAACAGAAGATGTAGTAGCAAGCAGGAGAAACTCAAACAGCAAATATTTAACGCATGAAAGCAGCATATTATTATTATTATTGAATACTCCTCTTCAGGTTTTTTGCCTATAATTAAAGAGAATTTCTTGCACATACTCATCTTCAGGTTTTTTGCCTATAGCTGTCTCCACCTTTTGAGCTTTGGAAACCCTATCATAACATTCAGCCAAAATCACATGGATCAATTAGTGAATGATTGCTTTAAGTATTATTATTATTATTGACTAGGCAATAAAGAGATAGAATTGCTGGCACATACTCCTCATCCTCAGGTAGTTTGGCTTTAGCTGTCTCCTCTTTTAGAACTTTGGAAACCCTAATATAACATGCAGCCAAAACAACATGGATCAGTAAGCAAATGTTTGAATGCTTTCTAAAGAAAATGTTTTCTTCCCCTAAACCAAACTGAGCTAATCAATATTCAAGAGGATGAGAAAACA